CCTTTTTACCACCCTTTTATTTAAAAAAAAAAAATGTTACTGCTTTTTATTAATTCTACCGTGTTGTGTAATGTTTATTTATACTGTTCATGCTCACTGCTTGTAGCACTTCGGGATTTGAAATCAAATATGAAGTGCTTTATAAATGGAACCCATTATTATTATTATTATTATAGTCCATGAGGAGAACAAATCATTGAGCATCGTTCTGTCACAGTGTTGCCTGGTTGTCCAGACCCCCATCGTCTGAACTCCATCTCCCCCGGTTTGTAGAAGCTTGGGTCTGACAGTGACCACCTCCAGGTGTCCACGTCCTCATACAACCCTTTCCAGGCTGACTGAAAGCAACATTAAATGTGTTTAAAAACGAACACCCTGATCTAGCTTTTAAAGCTGCTCAAGAAAATGTATGTGTTTATTAAAGAGACATGTTTTGCCTTCATGAGACCAGCCTTGGTACATGGTGATCTAATGGGAATCCCCTCAAGTCAACATTCATTTACAGCCTTGTTACTCTGAACCTCTTCAACTTTATTTCAGTATTTTATGCTGGCTTGGGTTTAATAATTTTTACAACTCTGTTTTCAGCTTTCTGTAATAATCTGTCCATTTTAAATTTGACTCTAAAAGAAATGTAATTCATTTGAATTTAAAGAAAGAGAAAAGTGACCTCACTTGGTTGTATTGGCCTGCCATGTTGTTCAGGAGCTCCACAACCTCCATGCTGTCTACAGTGGCCAGGCCTGTGTGTTTCTCTCTGCAGTGTCTCTGTGCTTCAGACATGGTCTTTGCTTCAGAAACAAAATTATACTGACGTTCAGCATGTGAGGAGACAGCGCTCAGCCCTGTAGAGACACAGACATTCATTTATAACTTGAGTTTTCATTTAAATTGTGATTACCTTAATAAACACATTATGACAAATGTCTAGCCTACAATACACTTATTCAAACAGTGTATCTAGTCTCAAAAATGTCCTCTACAGCTAATTTTCTCATGGCAGTCATCTGTACACATCAAATGTAATATCATTTTTCAACCACATGGCGTGAAACTTGTACAGGTATAAAACAATAAAAATATATCCAAATACATAAAACACTTGCCTGCAGCAGCCATGATCAGCATCACAACTACGTCCATCTTTGTTTGGTTTATGGTGTGACTTCAGATTGCAAGTGTTTAACGCGGATAGTGTTTCATATTATCAGCTATTTGAATATAAGCATCAGACTTCATGATGATGCATCATGAAGTCTGATGCGTCCTCTGGCTCCATGCAAATTGGTCAGAGGCAACAATCCTTTGCATATTAGGCAAATAATAACCACACAGCTGAAAAGACCATTTGGGGATCTGTTTAAAAAAACTTGATACAGCTATTTTTCTACAAAGTTTAAACGTTCCCCTACTTTCTAAACATTCAAGAAATAAAACCACACACACACACACACACACACACACACACACACACACACACACACACACACACACACACACACACACACACACACACACACACACACACACATACCATGTATACATCACTTCAGGGGACATTACATTGACTTACATGCATTTCCTGGAGACTTATCCTAACCTTAACCATAACCAACACATGCCTAACCCTAACCCTTACCCTTAACCTTACCCTTCTCAAAGCTCGGAACTAACCTCGGGCGGGCCCTGCAACCTACAACCAAGAATGCGGTTTATGCCGTGAGGTGCAGGGCCTGCCACAAGCTCTATGTGGGGGAGACGCGGCATGAGATCAGCCTCAGGATAAAACAACACTTATATAGAATAAATAGCGGTTACGGTACGAGCGTTCTCTACCTTCATTTTAAACTCCATAACCCAGAGAACCTCCAGTCTTTGGGCTTGGAGAGCAGCGGGAGCTGGACCACAGAGACGGGCAGCGGAGAGGAGGTGGATTAATCGCCTCAAAACGATAGACCCTACAGGCCTCAATGAAAAATATCAGTGATGGGTCCGCCTCCTTTTTATCAGATGGTTTTTAAATCTCTTTTACACATTATTATTATTTTTTTTAAAAAAGATACTTACCTTTTTTAAGACTTGCAACTTAACAGGTCCCTCCTGTCCTCCCGACGTGTGCTTCTCCCCTCCGGATGTTTTCAGACCCCCTCTCTGCGGTGATGGCAAACCAGAAATTCCACCCTATTTTATATTTTATATACATTACCTAAGGGTATTGCTTTTTAAATTAACTATCTAATTATTTATTTATCAATGTATTATTTATTTATATTGTAGTATTTATCTGTGTATTATTAATTTGTTATACATATTTCCTATCATTATTTTTACAAATCCTCCTCATCTGGACTCCTTTATGAACCTTTAAATGCATGGTTTTCTTTGTTTTATTATTATTATTATTATTACTACCATTTTATATGGCTGGAGCCTCCCGCAGGGAAACACCCTGAAATAACCCCTTAATAAAGTATTTTTAAACATCATCCGAGGCGTGTCCCATGCCTCACCTGCACCACCTCTCTAGACCTCGGCCTGGGTTTTAAACACTTTTAGGGACACTTGGTTGACTTTAAGATATTTCCCCTCCCTGTGTGCCTACTAACCCGTGTGTATTTTATATTTTATATTTTATATTTGACATATTTGTTTTATATATTATATATATTTTAACATTTGGGTTGATGTGATTTTTATTACCAGCACTTACTTTAAAAAGCACTTTTATGTATTTATTTTAAAACATTTTAACACTAATTTTACCTGCGTGCCGATTTTAAACAAAGTCAACCTTGGTCCTTTTAGCCAGATGTTTTTTAACCCACTTACCAGGTCTTTTACCAAATGCTGTGGGACGCAGCCTTGGACACTCCACCGGGGGAGACCCCCTCCGAGGGGGCAGGAGTACAGGTTTTAACCCCGCCGCATACGCTCTGTGCTGCAGCCGCTGCTCTCTTTTATCCCTTTTTTAAAACATTTTTAACCCAGACCAAACAGGGCTTTTATAAACTTTTGGTTTTACTACAGGAGTTTTTAAATAGATAAATAGGTTTTTAAACACAAAATATTGACCCGAGAGCCCGTGCACCAAGCGCTGCTCCGTTGGCGTTCCCCAAAACCCTTACCCTAACCAATTCTTCACCCTAAAATTAATGATTCCCTTATGGGGACCTCCATTTTGTCCCCATAAGGGAGGCGAGTCCCCACATGTGACTGTGTGAACAAATGTAGGTCCCCACAAGTATAGTAACACACACACACACACACACACACACACACACACACACACACAGACACACACACACACACACACACACACACACACACACACTACAATCACACGCACTAATGTTATATTTAACTAATATTTAACTCCCTCCACCCCGCATAAAATCACGTTTAGAAGCCCCTTTTCTCTAATTCCACAACGTTGGACGAAATGACATTAAGAGAACGGAATGTACAATTAAAAGGCTGATCATGGTTAACGTGTGCTGCTAACTTTATCCGGTATCCTAGCCTAATCTATCGTTCCCTAAATCTACTAATTTAGCGGGGGATAATCCACTACCATGCTTTAATTCACATGTTAATTTGTTTCAGATGTGCTGATAATATCCGAAATATAAGTCTTAAAATGTCTTACCTTTAAAAGTCCATCACAAACGGTCTATTCTGCTGCAACTCTACTGCGCTGCTAGTCTTTGCCGTTAACTTCCGGGAACTATTGAGAGGCTCCACAATCCGCCATTGCTGTAAAAAAAATGGTCCATTGGAGTGAACGGAGATGACGCAACTCTCTCTCTATACGGCGCTGGGACAGACGATACTACTTCTGGATAAGGACATTTTTTATAAACTTTTAAAGTTTATAAAAATGTGAATTTAATAAATTATATTATATATGATCTATCAATATTTGTTCTTTAAATGTATTTCTTTATACAGTATATATATTTGTTCATTTATTTTCACTGTGTCTGTACCTATGTACCCCTGATGTCAAGGTTTTGTGTGTATATAATGTTTGATGTAAATATATATTTTCTTGAATAATGGAGAACAAATATATATATACATATCTATATTGAGAATCAGTAGGCCATAAATGGTCTAAAATCAGGGAAATTACCATTCTGGCCAATAACCAATGCCAACCAATAATCCAACATGTGAGAAATAACTGAATAAATCATTCAAAGAAATAACATCTCTTTATTGGATATAGTTTATTCTTCATAGTGATTATTTTTTTAAACAATATATTATTTTCATGAAGATACATGACAAAAAACAACATCAAATCTTATAATAATAGTTAAGAAGCTGGAACCAGCCAATATTCAGCATTGTTACCAGAAGGATGTTTGAGTAACGTAAAACGGTTATAGATAATTTAAGGAAATTTGCTTCAAGTTTATATCCTTAATAAGGATGAAAATACAATTAATTATTTTCTATTTAGATTATTTGAAGATATTCTCACATTACATACATTACAATTGATATGGTTGCAATAATCTAATAATATCTAATCTATCAAATGTCACACAAAAGAGTAAAATGCCTGTTATATATCCCACAGCCAGAGGGAATTAAAACCCGACGAGATTCAGTTTATGACCACATAGCACAAAGAAAAGCATTAAATCTTCATATTCTGGAAGATGATTCACCAATTTTAGGAACATATCTTAAAGTTTGCATCCCTAAAGAAAAGGAGCAATAAACACAATGTTTAACTCATTTGAAGATATTAATAACAGTGAGTAATTGTACAACACATTTTTAGGATCAAATATAAGTTTAAAATGAAGAATTATATTTTTTTATGAAAATGACTTTAAAGATGCATTAGAGGTCATCATGTTAATTGGTAATAAGATTTCCTGGAATTGCCCTCTATTAAATCTTATATTATGTTAAAATGTCTCATATTTTATCTGAAAAAACATGTAAAAAGTCACAAAATAGGAAAATAAATCCTGTTTTTCGCAGGTCAAGCAGATACATGAACAGTTAAAACCCCAAACATATTAACTTCAAAACCATATATAACAAGAGAAAACATTACAGCTCTTATCTTATCTCACTACTGATAGATTATTCAGATCATTGTTGCAGCTGTATTCTGTAACACGAGGACTTTGAGGAAAGAAATACACTTCTCTCTGATAAAAGCCGAAACAGCAATTCAGCTTTAGAGCTCATCCCTCTTCTCCTCCTCCTCCTTGTGGAAGACTTTTCCATCCGGCTGCTTCCTCCAGGCCAGTTGGACGTTGTCGTCCAATCCCTGGGCCCTTAGGTTCTTTTTCGCCTGAGACACAAAAACTAATTTTCATTATCGTTCCAATGAAAACAGTTGATTTATCTTTAGTTCACTCATCTGAAATGGTAGTTGTTCCCCTTATTTCTTCCAGTGTAAAGGCTTACCTCAGGTTATGGAATAGTATTTGTAAATGTTCCTAATGCATTTGGTGGCATGTGGCTAAGTTTATGCTATTTACTTCTGCCCATATTTACACGTCTTCTTACTAAATGCTTGGGTCCTGTTATTTGTGGCCAAAGTATTGAATGTATAATGGATATAGAATTTCATTCATGTTCCTCTTGGTCCATTTAATTCGTATTGAAATTAATTTACTACATTTTCTTTCGTTGAATTCATTATTTTTTAATAGTTATTTATTTGTTTCCTACCTCTTTTGTCTCGTGTTCTCATGTCATGTGAATTTCCTTTCTGGTGATTGATGTTTTTGCATAAAAGTAGAAAACATGATTTACCTCCACCAACATCGCATCCAGAAAAGCGGGGTCGTTCAGATCCACACCGTTTGGTTTCTCCACCCTCACCTTTATCACTTTCATTGAAACAGGCACAGCTAAAAACACAAACAAACTTCATCAGTCACAACATTTATGGTGTCTTCTTTTTCAACAGACTCAATATCATCACTTGCTTTGTCATAGCTGTGAATTTTACTCACGTCCGTAGCAAATGAATGGTTTCTCCATTCCACAGTCCAAGTCCTCCCATTTTCCAAAGTTGTCGAAATCTGCAGCCACACAAACATTTAAAACTATGTAAAGGTTAGGTTCATTATCTGCCCAGTACTTGAAGAAGGAGTTACTTCCATCGGACCACTTCCAGGAGTCTCTGTAAAGGCCGATCCAGGCGGTAGATTGCCATCCAGATAACAGCTCAACAATCTGCTGGTTCTCCGCCAGGTTTCTCACACTGGCCAGGTCTGTGTGGTGTTTCCTGCAGTAGCTCTGGGCCTCAGTCCAGTTCATTTTGCTGTCAATAGGGACAAATGTTGCATTCGGCCCTGAAAATGGACCACAGAGAAGCTGAGTAGAGGCACCACGACATACAGCCTGACATCAATGCCACATCTCTGGTGGTATTGATGCCTTTATAATATAAAATATTACATTTAAATCCCACAAATGTGTACTTTGTAATTTGTAGTTCTGGGGTTTTTCAACACATGAATGTTGGCAAGAAACTTTAGTAGTATCAGTGGTGGAATATTCAGATATTTGAGTAAAAGCAGGAGTACAACAATGTGAATATACTCTGTTACAGGTTAAAGCTTCATTCAAATTATATTGATTCTATATTGCTCTTATTCTGTTTAGCACAGATGTATAAGATGTAAAACGTACCTTCAATTATAAAACAAGTTTGCAAAAAATGGTATATACATAATTTCCTTTTATGTTAAAATGTAAATGAAACCATGTGAGAACTTTTGTGAAAAGGGAAATGTCTTTAGTGGAACTGCTAACAAAAGAAAAAAAGTCACAAAGAAAAAAGGTTGGGAACCGCTAGTTAGATAAAGACCAATGCATTGTATTTCAGAAGCTTAAAATATGATTTTAAATGTGTAATATTAATTTTAAGTTGATATTCTTACCTGTGACATCAAAGCAGACCACACTGAAGGCGCCATTACAATAATAATCATTCCATCTTCCATCAGAATAAAATATTGTGCATTGTTCATCGTGCCCGTTGGTTGGTTCTCCAGTCCCCCATCCTCTGAACTCGATCTCCCCCGGTCCGTAGAAGCTTGGGTCTGACATCGACCACCTCCAGGTGTCCCGGTCCTCGTACAGCCCTATCCAGGCTGACTGAAAGAAAGAAATTGTTATAATTATGACATCCTGTTGAAGCTTTTAAAGCTGCTGCTTAATGTGTATGTTTAATAAAGAGAAGGTTTGTTGTGCCTTTATGAGACCAGCCTTGGTACATGGTGATCTGATGGGAATCCCCTCAAGTCAACATTCATTTACAGCCTTGTTACTCTGAACCTCTTCCACTTTATTACAGGGTTTTATGCTATAGCTTTGGCTTAAAACATTTTCAACTCTGGTTTAATACTCAGGTTCCCATAGGACTTTAAAACAGGTTTAGCTTTCTGTAATAATCTCTCCTTTTTAAATTTGACTTTAAAAGAAATGTAATTCATTTGAATCGAAAGACAGAGAAAAGTGACCTCACTTGTTTGAATTGGCCTGCCATGTTGTTCAGGAGCTCCACAACCTCCATGCTGTCTACAGTGGCCAGGTCTGTGTGTTTCTCTCTGCAGTATCTCTGTGCTTCAGACATGGTCTTTGCTTCAGAAACAAAATGGTACTGACGTTCAGCATGTGAGGAGACAGCGCTCAGCCCTGTAGAGACACACACATTCATTTAGGCTATAACTTGACTTTTTGAATCACACTTTACTGTAATATGGCGCATCATTATACATTTTGACTTCTACTTCAAACAATTCACAGTGAAATATGTAGCTTTCAGCTGAACTTCATTTAGTTGTTTTTAAGCAAGTACCTTTCAAACAATATAAAAGGTGTTAAGAATGCAAAACAAGTAATTGTCAAATAGAATCAGAAATGTCTTCTCTAGTTATTTATCTCCCCACCCCTCAGGTTTACATGAAATAAATAATAAAGACATAAAAAGATATCCAAATATATAAAACACTTGCCTGCAGCTGCCATGATCAGCAGCAGAACTACGTCCATCGTTGTTTGCTCTCTGACTGCAACTGTTGTTACAGCTCATAGTGTTTCTCATGAATGTCTTTGAGTAAGCTATTGTCATCTAACTTCATGCAAGGTCAGACGCAACAGATGTTTGCATAGGCAAATTGTTCGGGTTATGTTAAATACAGGACCCAGTCGCAGAAATGGACTTGAGAATCAGAATCAGAATTCTGAAGTAGGTTTACACATATGAGGAATTTGCTTTGGTTTATGTGGTGCATACAAAGACGAAGAAAGAAGAATATGTACGTGAACAAAATAAAAATAAAAATAGAACTGTTATAACAGCTATTTAAAAAAACTTTTATGAAAATATAATTCTCTAAGAAACTGGGTACAGTCAAATGTAATAAAACATGAAAAATACTATGTACTATATCCAAAGTGGAGAGCTGTGCTGATATACAAGAGGTAGTGTGGAGAAGAAATGGGCACCACATTTGTAGGATTCGCACGATGTGACTTAATGTAATACATAATGTTTTTTATGGGGTGGGTAGAAGTCAGTGTCCGTGGGGGTCCCGGTCCTTGTTGATGAGACCGGTAGCAGAGGGGAGGAAACTGTTCAGGTTGCGAGAGGTTTTGGTCCTGATGGAGCGCAGCCTCCTCCAGAGGGGAGAGGGGTAAACAGTTTGTGTCTGCAGAGTGGATGATATGCTGAAACCTTCCTTTGTCCTTAGCTGTAGCTGCAGCGTACCAGATGGTGATGGAGGAGGTGAGGATGGACTCGATGATGGTGGTGTAGAAACCATCATCGACTTTGGCAGGTAGAATTTCTTCAGCTGCTGCAGGAAAAACATCCGGTGCAGCTGGGAGAGCTTGTCCCGAATGTCCCGCAGAGGGAGTAAAGTTCAACATATTTATTGTTGTATATACTCAGGCAGATGATGAAGAAAGGGTAGCGGAAACCGTTGGCAGTTGGCGATGTGTCACGACCGATGGGAGCCTGGTGTGAAGACTTGCTACAGGCGCAGACAGAGCATGAAAACTAGAGAGTCTGCCTCCATGGAAGTCCACTAGAAGTGACGTTTCAGGAGGGATAGGGTCCGATTGATACCTGGGTGGAAGGCAAAGCGGGAAGAGTGGGTGAATGGGAGAACTTGTGAGCGGTCAGGTACAACGGTTATCCGGACTGTTACCTGGATCTGGCTGGTCTTTCTATGTGTTCCTCAGTGAGCTCTCAATCTCCCACGTCACAGCGCCCACCACCCTGGTAGCGGGAATTATGGTGTCAGGAACTGTGGAGTCATGATCCCCTGCAAACTGCCGGGACAGGGCGTCAGGTTTGTAGGTTTCTAGAATCGGAACGATAGGTACAGGTAAAGTTGAATCTGCCAAAAATGAAAGCCCAGCAGGTTTGACAAGAGTTTAATCATTTGGCAGTTTTTATGTAGGCCAGAATCAAAATGTTACTCAAGTAAAAGTAGAAAAGTATTGGCATCAGAAAATACTTAAAGTACCAAAAGTAAAAGTACTCATTTGCAGATTGGCCCATTTCAGAAAAATATATATTATATGTTTTGATTATAATTATTGATGCATTAAAGTGTTATCAAAGTTATCAAAGGTATTATATCTTAAGTACAGTACTTGAGCAAACGTACTTAGTTACTTCCCACGTCTGTTTACACATTATAGTGTAAATATGGGAGTGACAGTGGTTAACAACTATCTTGTGTTGAAAAAAACCGAACAAATATCATTTTAATTTGATCTCCAAATAGAGTTAAAAATTACAATAAATTGGGGTTAAGGTACCTACTCTGCAAAAAGGGTTAAATGTACACTATGTGGTGTGGACCCATTGACACAAAGTGTTGAAATCAGATCTGAGAGTGTTCATTTGGGTATGCTGATTTTGCTTTGATATAACATTCAAATCACTCTGTTTGCATAAAGTAAGAAAGGTCAAAGCAGCACAATAAAACAACCCAGAGGTTAAACCTGGAACAATACGTATGTTCTCTTTGGATGAGATCAACACTGTCCAAATACCACATTACAAGTAAAATACATGCATATTGTCATTATAATCAGGAACAAGTACTCAAAGTATCAAAATGAAAGGTAATCAATACTTGCTCCATAAGTCTATACGTTATGATATAATTTGTATCACCCTGTAATAATTCATTTTGTATTCACAATTAACTGTTAACAGTACTTTACTATAAAGAAGTTTGACAGTAAAACAGCTTTACTTTTGGTTAGACTTTAACACTGTAAGGATGGTATGAGCATGCAAAACTAATCTCAAACACAAGACACAGCAGGGCAGGGCAGGAAGAACACAAGGACACCAGAGCCGTTTCTCAGTTCTCCAATACAGAAATAAAAAGGGTTTTGTTTGAAGATCTGTTCGCTAACTTCAGGAGTGTTGTGACTACTCTATGTTACTTTATTTGTATGGAACCTTTCATGCAAGGTGCATCCCAAAGTGCTTTTCATGAGGACATTTCTATTTTGAAAACAGCAAAATATTAATTAATTACATATATATATATATATATATATATATTATCATATATGACAAAAAAAGGATAATCAAATCATAATATTTAGAAATATTAAAAAATCAATAATTAATATTTTCCCCTAGAAGTTGTTACAGTAATTTAAATAGTCATACATATCTTTAGGGAAATTGCTTCAAGTTTTCATCCCCATTTGGGTGACGGCATAATTGTGTTTTATGAAATCATTGGAAGACATTCTTACATATTACAGGAACAAAACTTGGTCTGATCCCAAAACATATTACTTTTATGACAATATATGAAGTAAAGCATCAAATCCTCATGTCATGGAAGCCAATACCCTAATTTAGCATCCCTAACAATGTGAAAATGAATTATATGTACAATTATTTTGTTTTCTTTATAGCTTATTTGACGGAATTATGGAATTTAACAGTGAATCTTCGTGTTACTCACGTCCGTAGCAAATGAATGGTTTCAGCCACACAAACCTTAAAAGCTCTGTGTTTAGGTTCATTTTCTGCCCAGTACCTGAAGGAGGAGAAACTTCCATCGGACCACTTCCAGGAGTCTCTGTAAAGGCCGATCCAATATATCCCTCCAGGTAACAGCTCAACAATCTGCTCCTCCTCCGCCGGGTTTCTGACACTGGCCAGGTCTGTGTGGTGTTCTCTGCAGTAGCTCTGGGCCTCAGTCCATGTCATTACACCATCAGTGGAGAGAAATCTCACATTCGGTCCTGAAAATGGACCCCAGAGAAGTGCTGAGTAGAGGCACCACGACATACAGCCTGACATCAATCACACATCTGTGGTGGTATTGATGCCTTTATAATATAAAATATAACATTGAAATCATCGAGACATAAGGAATTACACCAATAAATGAACACATGTATTAAATAAACATGTATGATATTATAATCTGAAAGTGTTTTTAAACGGTCTCTCCACATGAATTTAAATATAAGTAAGAGTTCAGATATAAAAAAGTTTGGGAACCATTTGTCAGATATAGAATAATAATAATATAATTTCAGAAGCTTCAAATTAATCTGAAATTAATATTCTTACCTTTGACCTCACAGCAGACTGCGCAGTAGCGGTTGTCACAAACAACATCATCCCATCCTGATGAGGGTGCGCAAATATGATCACATCACCCCCATCCTTAAAGCACTACACTGGCTCCCCGTGGAACTGAGGATCTAATTCAAGGTCTCCGTCCTCACCCACCATTGTGTCCATGGAACTGCCCCTCCCTACCTCAAGGAACTCCTCACCACCCATACCTCCTTGCGGACCACCTGCTCCAGCAACTCCAACTTGCTCAAACCCCCCAGGACTAAGCTCCGTACTATGGGAGACCGGGCCTTCTGCTCGGCTGCTCCCAGTCTGTGGAATGCTCTCCCCGACCACATGAGAGCACCACAGACCGTGGAGGCTTTTAAAAAAGGCCTCAAAACCCATCTCTTCAAAAGAGCCTTTGCCTAGACCTTTTTACCACCCTTTTATTTAAAAAAAAAAAATGTTATTGCTTGTTATTAATTTTACCGTGTTGTGTAATGTTTATTTATACTGTTCATGCTCACTGCTTGTAGCACTTCGGGATTTGAAATCAAATATGAAGTGCTTTATAAATGGAACCCATTATTATTATTATTATTATAGTCCATGAGGAGAACAAATCATTGAGCATCGTTCTGTCACAGTGTTGCCTGGTTGTCCAGACCCCCATCGTCTGAACTCCATCTCCCCCGGTTTGTAGAAGCTTGGGTCTGACAGTGACCACCTCCAGGTGTCCACGTCCTCATACAGCCCTTTCCAGGCTGACTGAAAGCAACATTAAATGTGTTTAAAAACGAACACCCTGATCTAGCTTTTAAAGCTGCTCAAGAAAATGTATGTGTTTATTAAAGAGACATGTTTTGCCTTCATGAGACCAGCCTTGGTACATGGTGATCTAATGGGAATCCCCTCAAGTCAACATTCATTTACAGCCTTGTTACTCTGAACCTCTTCAACTTTATTTCAGTATTTTATGCTGGCTTGGGTTTAATAATTTTTACAACTCTGTTTTCAGCTTTCTGTAATAATCTGTCCATTTTAAATTTGACTCTAAAAGAAATGTAATTCATTTGAATTTAAAGAAAGAGAAAAGTGACCTCACTTGGTTGTATTGGCCTGCCATTTTGTTCAGGAGCTTCACAACCTCCATGCTGTCTACAGTGGCCAGGCCTGTGTGTTTCTCTCTGCAGTGTCTCTGTGCTTCAGACATGGTCTTTGCTTCAGAAACAAAATTATACTGACGTTCAGCATGTGAGGAGACAGCGCTCAGCCCTGTAGAGACACAGACATTCATTTATAACTTGAGTTTTCATTTAAATTGTGATTACCTTAATAAACACATTATGACAAATGTCTAGCCTACAATACACTTATTCAAACAGTGTATCTAGTCTCAAAAATTTCCTCTACAGCTAATTCTCTCATGGCAGTCATCTGTACACATCAAATGTAATATCATTTTTCAACCACATGGCGTGAAACTTGTACAGGTATAAAACAATAAAAATATATCCAAATACATAAAACACTTGCCTGCAGCAGCCATGATCAGCATCACAACTACGTCCATCTTTGTTTGGTTTATGGTGTGACTTCAGATTGCAAGTGTTTAACGCGGATAGTGTTTCATATTATCAGCTATTTGAATATAAGCATCAGACTTCATGATGATGCATCATGAAGTCTGATGCGTCCTCTGGCTCCATGCAAATTGGTCAGAGGCAACAATCCTTTGCATATTAGGCAAATAATAACCACACAGCTGAAAAGACCATTTGGGGATCTGTTTAAAAAAACTTGATACAGCTATTTTTCTACAAAGTTTAAACGTTCCCCTACTTTCTAAACATTCAAGAAATAAAACCACACACACACACACACACACACACACACACACACACACACACACACACACACACACACACACACACACACACACACACACACACACACACACACACACACACACACACACATACCATGTATACATCACTTCAGGGGACATTACATTGACTTACATGCATTTCCTGGAGACTTATCCTAACCTTAACCATAACCAACACATGCCTAACCCTAACCCTTACCCTTAACCTTACCCTTCTCAAAGCTCGGAACTAACCTCGGGCGGGCCCTGCAACCTACAACCAAGAATGCGGTTTATGCCGTCAGGTGCAGGGCCTGCCACAAGCTCTATGTGGGGGAGACGCGGCATGAGATCAGCCTCAGGATAAAACAACACTTATATAGAATAAATAGCGGTTACGGTACGAGCGTTCTCTACCTTCATTTTAAACTCCATAACCCAGAGAACCTCCAGTCTTTGGGCTTGGAGAGCAGCGGGAGCTGGACCACAGAGACGGGCAGCGGAGAGGAGGTGGATTAATCGCCTCAAAACGATAGACCCTACAGGCCTCAATGAAAAATATCAGTGATGGGTCCGCCTCCTTTTTATCAGATGGTTTTTAAATCTCTTTTACACATTATTATTATTTTTTTTAAAAAAGATACTTACCTTTTTTAAGACTTGCAACTTAACAGGTCCCTCCTGTCCTCCCGACGTGTGCTTCTCCCCTCCGGATGTTTTCAGACCCCCTCTCTGCGGTGATGGCAAACCAGAAGTTCCACCCTATTTTATATTTTATATACATTACCTAAGGGTATTGCTTTTTAAATTAACTATCTAATTATTTATTTATCAATGTATTATTTATTTATATTGTAGTATTTATCTGTGTATTATTAATTTGTTATACATATTTCCTATCATTATTTTTACAAATCCTCCTCATCTGGACTCCTTTATGAACCTTTAAATGCATGGTTTTCTTTGTTTTATTATTATTATTATTATTACTACCATTTTATATGGCTGGAGCCTCCCGCAGGGAAACACCCTGAAATAACCCCTTAATAAAGTATTTTTAAACATCATCCGAGGCGTGTCCCATGCCTCACCTGCACCACCTCTCTAGACCTCGGCCTGGGTTTTAAACACTTTTAGGGACACTTGGTTGACTTTAAGATATTTCCCCTCCCTGTGTGCCTACTAACCCGTGTGTATTTTATATTTTATATTTTATATTTGACATATTTGTTTTATATATTATATATATTTTAACATTTGGGTTGATGTGATTTTTATTACCAGCACTTACTTTAAAAAGCACTTTTATGTATTTATTTTAAAACATTTTAACACTAATTTTACCTGCGTGCCGATTTTAAACAAAGTCAACCTTGGTCCTTTTAGCCAGATGTTTTTTAACCCACTTACCAGGTCTTTTACCAAATGCTGTGGGACGCAGCCTTGGACACTCCACCGGGGGAGACCCCCTCCGAGGGGGCAGGAGTACAGGTTTTAACCCCGCCGCATACGCTCTGTGCTGCAGCCGCTGCTCTCTTTTATCCCTTTTTTAAAACATTTTTAACCCAGACCAAACAGGGCTTTTATAAACTTTTGGTTTTACTACAGGAGTTTTTAAATAGATAAATAGGTTTTTAAACACAAAATATTGACCCGAGAGCCCGTGCACCAAGCGCTGCTCCGTTGGCGTTCCCCAAAACCCTTACCCTAACCAATTCTTCACCCTAAAATTAATGATTCCCTTATGGGGACCTCCATTTTGTCCCCATAAGGGAGGCGAGTCCCCACATGTGACTGTGTGAACAAATGTAGGTCCCCACAAGTATAGTAACACACACACACACACACACACACACACACACACACACACACACACACACACACAGACACACACACACACACACACACACACACACACTACAATCACACGCACTAATGTTATATTTAACTAATATTTAACTCCCTCCACCCCGCATAAAATCACATTTAGAAGCCCCTTTTCTCTAATTCCACAACGTTGGACGAAATGACATTAAGAGAACGGAATGTACAATTAAAAGGCTGATCATGGTTAACGTGTGCTGCTAACTTTATCCGGTATCCTAGCCTAATCTATCGTTCCCTAAATCTACTAATTTAGCGGGGGATAATCCACTACCATGCTTTAATTCACATGTTAATTTGTTTCAGATGTGCTGATAATATCCGAAATATAAGTCTTAAAATGTCTTACCTTTAAAAGTCCATCACAAACGGTCTATTCTGCTGCAACTCTACTGCGCTGCTAGTCTTTGCCGTTAACTTCCGGGAACTATTGAGAGGCTCCACAATCCGCCATTGCTGTAAAAAAAATGGTCCATTGGAGTGAACGGAGATGACGCAACTCTCTCTCTATACGGCGCTGGGACAGACGATACTACTTCTGGATAAGGACATTTTTTATAAACTTTTAAAGTTTATAAAAATGTGAATTTAATAAATTATATTATATATGATCTATCAATATTTGTTCTTTAAATGTATTTCTTTATACAGTATATATATTTGTTCATTTATTTTCACTGTGTCTGTACCTATGTACCCCTGATGTCAAGGTTTTGTGTGTATATAATGTTTGATGTAAATATATATTTTCTTGAATAATGGAGAACAAATATATATATACATATCTATATTGAGAATCAGTAGGCCATAAATGGTCTAAAATCAGGGAAATTACCATTCTGGCCAATAACCAATGCCAACCAATAATCCAACATGTGAGAAATAACTGAATAAATCATTCAAAGAAATAACATCTCTTTATTGGATATAGTTTATTCTTCATAGTGATTATTTTTTTAAACAATATATTATTTTCATGAAGATACATGACAAAAAACAACATCAAATCTTATAATAATAGTTAAGAAGCTGGAACCAGCCAATATTCAGCATTGTTACCAGAAGGATGTTTGAGTAACGTAAAACGGTTATAGATAATTTAAGGAAATTTGCTTCAAGTTTATATCCTTAATAAGGATGAAAATAATACAATTAATTATTTTCTATTTAGATTATTTGAAGATATTCTCGCATTACATTACATTTTTTGTGGTTGCAATGCAACGAAAACTGATATTTAATTTGTATAAACGTTAAAGGTAATCATTTTTATTTAATATCTTAATTTATAATCTAATAATATCTAATCTATCAAATGTCACACAAAAGAGTAAAATGCCTGTTATATATCCCACAGCCAGAGGGAATTAAAACCTGAAGAGATTCAGTTTATGACCACAAAGCACAAAGAAAAGCATTACATCTTCATATTCTGGAAGCTGATTCACCAATTTTAGGAACATATCTTAAAGTTTGCATCCCTAAAGAAAAGGAGCAATAAACACAATGTTTAACTCATTTGAAGATATTAATAACAGTGAGTTAAAAAACACGTTTTTAGGATCAAATATAAGTTTCAAATGAAGAATTACATTTCTTTTAATGAAAATGATTTTAAAGATGCATTAGAGGTCATCATGTTAATTGGTAATAAGATTTCCTGGAATTGCCCTCTATTAAATCTCATATTATTTTAAAATGTCTTATTATATTTTATCTGAAAAAATATGTAAAAAGTCACAAAATAGGAAATAAATCCAGTTTTTCGCAGGTCAAGCAGATACATGAACAGTTAAAACCCCAAACATATTAACCTCAAAACCATATATAACAAGAGAAAACATTACAACTCTTATCTTATCTCGCTACTGATAGATTATTCAGATCATTGTTGCAGCTGTATTCTGTAACACGAGGACTTTGAGGAAAGAAACACACTTTTCTCTGATAAAAGCCGACACACAGCAATTCAGCTTTAGAGCTCATCCCTCTTCTTCTCCTCCTCCTTCTGGAAGACTTGTCCATCCGGCTGCTTCCTCCAGGCCAGTTGGACGTTGTCGTCCAATCCCTGGGCCCTTAGGTTCTTTTTCGCCTGAGACACAAAAACTCATTATCATTATCGTTCCAATGAAAACAGATGATTTATCTTTAGTTCACTCATCTGAAATGGTAGTTGTTCCCCTTATTTCTTCCAGTGTAAAGGCTTACCTCAGGTTATGGAATAGTATTTGTACATTTTCCTAATGCATTTGGTGGCATGTGGCTAAGTTTCTGCTATTTACTTCTGCACATATTTACACGTCTTCTTACTAAATGCTTGGGTCCTGTTATTTGTGGCCAAAGTATTGAATGTATAATGGATATAGAATTTCATTCATGTTCATCTTGGTCCATTTCATTCGTATTGAAATTCATTTACTACATTTTCTTTCGTTGAATTCATTATTTTTTAATAGTTATTTATTTGTTTCCTACCTCTTTCGTCTCTTGTTCTAATGTCATGTGAATTTCCTTTCTGGAGATTGATGTTTTTGCATAAAAGTAGAAAACATGATTTACCTCCACCAACATCGCATCCAGAAAAGCGGGGTCGTTCAGATCCACACCGTTTGGTTTCTCCACGCTCACCTTTATCACTTTCATTGAAACAGGCACAGCTAAAAACACAAACAAACTTCATCAGTCACAACATTTATGGTGTCTTCTTTTTCAACAGACTCAATATCATCACTTGCTTTGACATAGCTGTGAATTGTACTCACGTCCGTAGCAAATGAATGGTTTCTTCACTCCACAGTCCAAGTCCTCCCATTTTCCAAAGTTGTCGAAATCTGCAGCCACACAAGCTTTGAGACCTCTGTAGACAGGTATATTTGCCCAGTACCTAAAGGAGTAGAAACTTCCATCGGACCACTTCCAGGAGTCTCTGTAAAGGCCGATCCAATAAGGATTACCTCCAGGGAACAGTTCAAATATCTGCTGGTGCTCTGTCTGGTTTCTCACACTGGCCAGGTCTGTGTGGTGTTCTCTGCAGTAGCTCTGGGCCTGAGTCCATGTCATTAGGCTGTTGATGAGGACAAATGTTGCATTCGGCCCTAAAAATGGACCACAGAGAAGCTGAGTAGAGGCACCACAACATACAGCCTGACATCAATGCCACATCTCTGGTGGTATTGATGCCTTTATAATATAAAATATTACATTTAAATCCCACACATTTGGACTTTGTAATTTGTAGTTCTGGGGTTTTTCAACAGATGAATGTTGGCAAGAAACTTTAGTAGTATCAGTGATGGAAGAAGTATTCAGATATCTTAGTAAAAGCAGGAGTACAACAATGTGAATATACTGTGTTACAGGTTAAAGCTTCATTCAAATTGTATTGATTCTATATTGTTCTTATTCTGTTTAGCACAGATGTATAAGATGTAAAACGTACCTACAATTCTGAAACAAGGTTGCAAAAAATGGTATATACATAACTTCCTTTGACGTTATCATTTAAATGAAACCATGTGAGAATTTGAGTGAAAAGGGAAACGTCTTTAGTGGAACTGCTAACAAAAGAAAAAAAGTCACAAAGAAAAAAGGTTGGGAACCGCTAGTTAGATAAAGACCAATGCATTGTATTTCAGAAGCTTAAAATATGATTTTAAATGTGTAATATTCATTTTAAGTTTATATTCTTACCTGTGACATCAAAGCAGACCGCCCAGGTTCGGTCATTACAATCAAAATCATGCCATCTTCCATCATAATCAAAATATGTGCATTGTTCATTGTGCTTGTTGCTTGGTTCTCCAGGCCCCCATGGTCTGAACTCCGTCTCCCCCGGTCCGTAGAAGCTTGGGTCTGACATCGACCACTTCCAGGTGTCCCAGTCATCGTGCAGCCCTATCCAGGCTGACTGAAAGCAAGAAATTGTTATAATTATTACATCCTGTTGAAGCTTTTAAAGCTGCTGCTGAAGAAAATGTGTATGTTTAATAAAGAGAAGGTTTGTTGTGCCTTTATGAGACCAGCCTTGGTACATGGTGATCTGATGGGAATCCCCTCAAGTCAACATTCATTTACAGCCTTGTTACTCTGAACCTCTTCAACTTTATTACAGGGTTTTATGCTATAGCTTTGGCTTAAAACATTTAATACTCAGGTTCACATAGGACTTTAAAACAGGTTTAGCTTTCTGTAATAATCTCTCCTTTTTAAATTTGACTCGAAAATAAATGTAATTCATTTGAATTGAAAGACAGAGAAAAGTGACCTCACTTGTTTGTATTGGCCTGCCATGTTGTTCAGGAGCTCCACAACCTCCATGCTGTCTACAGTGGCCAGGTCTGTGTGTTTCTCTCTGCAGTATCTCTGTGCTTCAGACATGGTCTTTGCTTCATAAACAAAATGGTACTGACGTTCAGCATGTGAGGAGACAGCGCTCAGCCCTGTAGAGACACAGACACTTTGATTAGATTCAATATCAATTACTGAACCGACTTCTCCAATTTACATTCAAGTGAAACTGTAAACTAAACAACTTAAGTAATTGTCAGAGGGAAACCACAATACAAAGTACTAAACATTGCTAATGGGATAACATGCAGTATTTTAAATAAAAATATATAAAACTCTTGCCTGAAAGAGCGATGATGATCTGAAGAACTTTTTCCATCCTTGCCTCTTCCCTGTTCTTCTCTTTTGGACTGAGACTGTAGATGTGCAGCTGTTTATATTAAATATTAGGTCAAACATTAACTAACTCTATGCGTTAGTCAGCTGCACTTTCGACTTAATGCAAAGTGGATATGGAACCTTTTATATCAGGCTTATTTACTTACATTTGCACATGCATTTACAAGAAAAGACAAATAGAGTGATACCGGCGTAGGACTGGTGATACACAGCAGGAAAACCAAATTACAACTGTTTGGCAATACAGCCACCACGAAAATGTCCTTCAACGGCCGACACACTTCCTGGCGTCTTGGGAAGGTTCCTAACGGAGTGAAATGACTCAGAAGTTCCTCAGTGTCAGACGTGATAAGAGCTGATCAGAAGTCTAGATGATAGGAAAAGAGCTTCAGTGCTTCCTTTATAATCTCCTTTAGTTTAGCATACACTCGACCACCCTTTTCGAAATGAAAGGAGAAAATGTTGTATATATTTGAATGTAATAATGTTGTTCACTGTTGTTCATGTTTATAAATCATCACCACAAAGAGCAAAGTATCTACATACACTTTTAGTAATCTACTGTTTCCTCATGGCAGACGCACATCAATAACATCCGCTGGCCAATCATTAACATCCTAATGTAAATGCAGTCAGATTCAGTTCGCACCGCAGTTGTCTTTTTCCTGAGTCCTGATGTATTCTCCTTTGCATTTTCTCTTAACCCTATGATGTTTAACTCAGAAGTTAAGCAATAGTGGTTTGGAAAAGACGATAGGACCTGAATTTTTGGAAATTCAACCGCAACCTGTGTGGTCAAAAAGGTCATCAATGAAACTTGTTGGAAAAATATCACTCGTCACCAGCTTGAGCTTCAATATCAGGATACATGTATTTATTATCCTTGCAAGAATGGAAGTAGTCATCACATACAGAGCATTTGGTACAACTAGTTCCTGAACAGTGTCCTTCAGATGCTTTATATACAAGAGAGGGAGTTACACAGTCACAAGATACATGTATACCGGTTCAAAGCAGTATTCTATGCTTAAATCAGATTAGCTAAGGCCCACATAAGCAAAACACATGACAGTCATATGTCTATCTCCATAGAGGCTGAATCATCATGTTAATCACATAGCTATCATATGCCTAAAACAGTCCTGACGCTCTTCTAGGTAATCATACATCCTGTCATGTACACAGCTACGTAGGGCCTTTGTTATCATGTTACTCTGATATTGGAAAAGTACATTCAGTATTGTCCCAACACAACTTCAAGAGCCACATTACACTGAAGCACGAATGGCAAAAGAAGGAAAGGAAGGCAAAGGGAAAGATCACATATAAATATTCAAAGTTCTGTGGCCTTCATTGACCTTCTGCTGACTCTTCCAATGAATTCATCAGTCCATCTTTGGTCTGTTCCCCTTTTCGTCATTTGCATATAGCTGATACTGCATGTTTGTTTTAAAGTTTATGTGGGTGTCATTGTGAAAGCAGTGTGTTTGTTTTGCATGTAGGCTAGTTTGTTAGGAAACACAGTTGCCCATGTCTTGACCAGGGTTCCATTGGATGATACGTTTTCCATTCTCAATGGGACTTGAATAATTGTTTAATAATAAGACATTTGAAAAAAAGCGATGTGAAGCGATTGAAAAATAATCCATCTTAACTTAACTCAACCTATCGGCATCAGAATCAGAATCGGAATACCTTTATTCGTCCCAGAGGGGAAATTTGCATTTGTTACAGCAAGAAAAGAGCCAAAGACAGCTTAATATTAACCAAGAAGCATGCATAAATACAAAAATTACACAATTTACAAAATACACCTCCTGTAACAGTTATCTATGGGCTCAGAACAGTCTCATAATACACACATGCACACAGAAGGATTCACTCTTGTATTTCATGACCCGCAAAAGGAGTCACACTTGTGTTTTTCAATGCACACACCAATGTGTTCCGTTTCATATACATGTAAATAAAATCAAAATACAGAAAAAAGTTTGATATATGTATTTTTGATCCACACACATTTGTTTTCCGTTTAAAACCGCTGCACCTGCAAACACAACCCTCTTTCTGTGCATGGATCGCTTTGCATTCGTGTGTGGGTCTTTTGAGACTCCCCTGACGGTCACCCGATTCGATAATTATTTCTATCTATAGCAAATCAGATGTCTCCTCAATTCTAAGCCAATCACATGAGCGCGCCCCACGAGGGTATGATTTATTGCATTCATGACGTAGCGTTTCATGTACGCTCTCAGTACATTGCCACTTTCCGAACAGGAAATGCAAGCAAATACAATCTTTTATATTATTAAGGTACAGCGCCACTTTCCAAACCATTAATGAATGCTTGTGTACACAAAAACAGCAGGCAAAACCGTTTTAAATGTGTGTTTCCTGTATGGCGAATACAGCTGCTTTATTTATGTCTGTATGAAGTTGTTGTGAGTTTAGGGAGCAGCTACAGGTTAGCTTAGCCTGATCGATCACTAGCCTGTACTACGAAGCCAGTTCTACACCAACACACTCTCACTCCCTAAACGTCCAGGAGCGACGCTTGGTCAGGGTCCCGTCGCGTGCAGTTGGGACGCGCCGAGGCTCCTTCAGCTTCATAAACGGACGCAAAGAGCTTTCAACTGATTGCAATGTATTCCCATCGGCGGCGGTATTTGACGCTCATGGAAGCACCGCATCGGTCCTTGTCGGCGGCCCTTAAAGGCAATGTGAGCGTCCATTCCCATTGGATGACGGAGAATTTTACACCCGGAACTAACTATTCTCCTTACTGTCGATTGATTTGACAGTGATATCTCCACTACTCATCAACTCAAAAACACCAGATTATCTTTGTTAATTAAACGACATTGATAGGTTTAAATTGTGTACAATGCTTTTGTGTTTTTCCCCTTCAATTCTGAGAAACAACTTGTTTTCTCTGAAATGTGGAGCGCCAAAGAGACTACACTACCCACAATCCCCAGCTATTGTTGTGACGACGCCTGTCCGCTTTACGACAATTTAGCCTCCCTGGCCCCAATATGGGGTAGAAGATTAAAGCCACCTAACTGAATAGCCCTTGACCTGAATGAACTCCTTAGGCTCTTGGGACCAAAGGAGGGGTTCGGTCTGAGTGTCGCCCCACTACGTTCACCCCGGATCAACAAGCAACTTGGGTGCACCGACAGAGCGGTCAGCTCGGACACTCACTTGGCTGAAGTCAAGGCAAGTAGCAACGCTGTTTTCCATGACAGTGCTTTCAGGGTTGAGAGCTCCAGAGGCTCAAATGGTTCTGTGACCAGAGCCTCGAGCACCAACGGCAGGTCCCACTGTGGGGCGGAGGCGTGCACTACTGCGCACTGCCTCCGGACTGCCTCCGGACCCCCTGCAAAAACCGCGACATAAGCGGCTGACTGAAGGCTGACCTGCCGCCAAATCCCTCATGGCAGGACGAAATGGCTGCTGCATACACTTTAACTGTGGAATGAGCAAGCCCCCTGTCCACCAGTAACTGTAAGTAGGACAGAATAGAGCACAACGTACAAGATAGGGGCTCTAGACTCCGCTCCTCACACCATCGCTGGAAAGGCGTAGAGCAGCTTTCATGGAAAACCACAGGGTACATTGGCTGTTGCGCCGGCTGGCGAACAGGTCCACCTCCGCTCTCCCGAACTGGGCCCAGATCTGCTTCACCGCCTCCGGGTGAAGCACCCACTCGCCTGGCAGGGGCCCGCCTCTTGACATGAGGTCGGCCCCCCTGTTCTCCAGTCCCGGGATGTGGAGGGCGCTCAGAGACAACACAATCTCTGAAGCCCACAACCACAGTTTCTCCGCTGTGGTCAACAAGGCGGCGGAGCGGACTCCGCCCTGCTTGTTGATGTACGCCACTGTGGTGTGGTTGTCGCTCCTCATCAGCACATGTTTGCCCTGTATTAAGGGTTTGAAATGCAGGAGGACCAACACTACTGCCCGTAGCTCTAGAAGGTTGCTGTGCCGCATCTCTGTCAGAGACCAGCAACCACCTATAGCTCTCTCTAGGCAGGTCCCCGTCCATCCTGTCACAGATGCATCTGTGAACACCGTAATGTAGGAGGTCACTCACCCCAGTTAAGTTCCCCTCTGGAGATGCTCTGGAGACCCCCAGTATCGGAGGTTGCCCCCCACTGAGGAGGGGGATGGTCACCAGACGTCGTTTGTGCCTCTTGGGATCTAAACGAAGGCCGGCAAACCACCTCTGCAGGCGGCGCATATGCAGCAACCCCAGTGGCACCACAAAGTGAGCAGCCGCCATGAGACCCAGAGGCTGCATGATGGTCAAAGCTGTCCCCATTGCCCCCTGTCGCAATCTGCAAACTGCCCGAAGCAGGGATGCCTGTCTGCTCTCTGACAGGGTGGCGCGTAGCCTGCCTGCATCGAGCACCATCCCCAGATACTGCACCTGTTGGTGAGGTATGGGATCTAGAATAAGGCATTAATAAGTGTTTTATAATGACTAATAAAGAGCCAATATACTGCTAATATGCATTTTAATTTAATTTGTGAACCTTGTGGGGGGAAACTTCTGCGTAGCAATGCAGGAGGAGTCACAGACTCAAAGGAGGCACGGGGAGAGCTGGAGCTTTGATGTCAAACACTGATGTTCTTTAACCTGTTAAGCCCCGAGCCTGTTTTTCAGGTTTCAGGCTCGAAAATGACATGCCCAAAACAAATGACTACAACTTCACTTCTAAAAGGGTTATATGAATAATTTCTTTTATCAAAGCAAGGTTACATCTGTGAGTTGGATGTAGAAGTGTCAGAATCAATATAGATTTTTCTCAGTCAGAGTAAATTCAGATGGAACATAGTAAAAAAAGGTAAATTCTTACCTCCGCCTAAAGAAAAAACATTACTTATAGTGAAAACCACCCTTGAATGATGGGATGGTAGACTAAACGCTTTAGGAATCCAAACTATAACATATAATAAGTACCCTGTATCAAGATT